GTGGAGTGACAGGTAGCTCATCCAAATAGATTCCTCCAAGGCAGGAAGGAAATGCATCAAATTTCTGGAAATTCGTGCTCCATACAAAACATCAATACAATAGGACTGTGATAAATGTCAGAAAGTGTGCTATTTCTGCTTTTTGAGATCCTATAAAGTTGAAAAGACCCTGAATTAGTGTTGAGAAATCTGTGGGGCAGAGCTCAGATGAAGGAAAAGGCCAAAGTTTTGAGCTGAGCATGCTTTGCTCTGCTTTGATATTCTGAGCTGTGTATCTCCCATGATGATATAATGTTTTGATCTATGTTTCTCCCAGAATGCTTTGCTCTATCATAAAATTCTAACCGCTCCTATCCCCATGATACCTTGCCTTCTCCCCAACTGGTTGTAGATGGGTTTTTTTCCTGTCTTTTTCCCATTGTTTATCTGGGTCTACTCTTGCATGAAGGAGTGGATTCTTCAGTGGGCATGTCCTGGAATTAGAAACACTCTGTCTGGCAAAATGGGTAGCAAGAGGTCAGATGCACAGATGTTGTACAGAGTGCAGCATCAGCTGCTCTGTTGGTTGGGGTCAGAACAGTCAGGCTAGGATTTTGGCTTCTACCACAGAGTCTGCACTGCACAACTTCGGAATGTGGAGTGTATCATAAGGAAAAGTCAAGCCGTGATGCCTCAGTCTGACAGTTTCACTGACACCGGGGTTCATTCAAGAAGCTGATCAATGTGAAAGTTCTCAGTGTGGGATTTCTTTTCTGACATTTTAAGTAATCTTTATTAATAAAAAAGGGATATATGCTCTATTCACACAAGAGTGTTTCCTTAAATCTTTAACGGTGGCTCTGAAAACCCAGACATTTTCAAAATACTTCAGATCCTCCTCCTTCTCCTCATCCACCTCCCAGAAACCATCCTTATTTCTCTGAGAGTTTTTTTTTTAAGTATTGAAATCATTTTATAATATGGCAGCACAGAGAGAGCGAGCGAGAGGAAGTAAAGAGAGAGGGAGCGGTATTTCTGTAAGGAGCGGAAGCATACGAGAGCGTCTGTGGTGAAGCTGATTCCTCTGCTCTCAGCAGACACCCAGTGTCTGTGCTGAAGTCTTCCTGGGGGTGTGGGGGAAGGGGGGGGGGAGTGATGAAAGCCTCCAGGTTGTGGGCCAGTGAGTTACATAGTTTAATGGCTGAGAAAGTGAATCTTAACATGAGCCAGTTATTAAACCAATTTGCCTGGAACAGCAGAGTATTAAAAGGTTTAAGAAAATGTGAGCGATACAGGCACTATGGAAGAAGCACTAAGCCAAAATAAACCTTTATCTGATCTCTTTGTTGTCTATGGTGTACAGATAAACAGTTTCTTCTGGAACAGAGATGGTGGTGCAGTGGTGGGCACTGTCACCTCACACCTCTGGGATCTGGGTTCAAGTCTCCACCATGGCTCCATGTGTGTGGAGTTTGCATGTTCTTCTCATGGTTAATTGGAGTTACTAAATTGCCCATAGGTGAGTGTGTCCTGTGATGAGTTAGCACACCATTCTGGTTTGTTCCTTGCCTATTGCCCATAGGCTCCAGACCCAATGTGACCCTGAACAGGTGGCTACAGAAAATGGGACAGAAGGACTGTAGTACTAATGGCTGATATGAAAGGATATGAAATATATTTCTTGTCCTACAGCAGCAGGTTCTCCTAACCCTTCATCCGGTCTGGGGCTGTTGGGAGTATGGAGCCTGTACAGAAAAGCACAGGGCACGAGGCAGGGGGACATCCTAGACCACTGTTTCTCAACACAGTCCACGTTTTTGCTCCAATCCATTTTTGCTCCTGTCAGGGAGCAAAAATGTGGACCGTCTGGGGGTCCCCGACGACCAGGCTGGGAAACGCTGTCGTAGACTGGATGCCAATTCACTACAGGGCAGCTGTGCTGTCTTAAGAAAAATGTACTGAACAATAATGAAAGTCATCTAATAAATCCATCCATCCATTTTCTGTACCCACTTGTCCTATTCAGGGTCGCGGGGGTCCGGAGCCTATTGCAGAAGCTATAGGCGCAAGGCAGGGAATAACCCAGAATGGGGCGCCAACCCATCGCAGTTGATAAAAGTCTAAGTCATTTAATAAAAGAATAAAGGTGATCTAGCACATGCCTTTCATGAAAAACACTGGATGAGTATAATCATATTAAATGTTTGCATTGATAGAGTGACTGGAAGCTGAGGCAGAGACTCACCATGTGTAGCTCAGCGGCTCCAGCTGTGCTCACCTGGGTTCGACGTTACAATTAGCCTCGGAATTGAATCAGTGTGGCTGTTTTGTGAGGGTTTAAGGCAAAGGCAGAGGAAGACAGGCTGTCCGGCCAGAGCCTGCCCTCTGAGATATGCCACCTTAATGTCCTGGTACTGCCACCCCGTGTCAGCGTGCGCGTCCTGATGCGCTCAACTTCCCAGGCCTGGCTGCTGGAGAGCCGGCCAGTCACTGGTGTGCATTCCCCTGGACCAGAGTGAGGGATTTACTTGATGGAAAGGGCCCTGGGCCTTTTGATCTCCCTCTGAAATGTGACAAATGTCTGCCCCGCTTTAATGCCATTATATGTGCTAAAATACAAAATCCAGGCTGGGTTTTTTTAGCACTGCCAGTTGGGAGGAACTCAAAAGTGGCATCAGTCATTGTGAATGTCTTAGCAGTCACTTTCATCAAGGGGCCAAAGGAGAGGCTGGATGCGAGGAGGTGAAATTTTACTGCTGCAGCCTTAAGAGGCTTCTTTTTTTGATTATTGGCCTAAATTGATGACTGCTTGATATTGTGAGTAAGACGTTTATATTAAGGGATTTTGGGATTACAGTTGGATTTGGGGGATGATTCTTTTGGGGTCTTCAGGGCCTGAGAATCGTGGTATTCAATGAGGGGGAGAGAGAAAGAGAGGGGAACCCAAGGTGAACATCTCCAAATGTTCCTCCCGAAGCGTGCTCCATGCTCACAATCACAGCTGCTTGATCCCCTTCCAAACTTAGTATGGATGATGGGGCACAATGAAGGTCGCAGTGTCCCCCGCCCTGATATATGGTGCGAGTGAGGCTCGCTCATCACGGGCTGAAGTCAGAACGGGGGGGGCTCTGCAATTTGACACCCTTACTAATGCTTCTCAGCAGGAGAGGTCGCAGGAAAAGCTTGGTACACCTGGGAGCGGCAGGTGAGAGAGATGTAGGAGAGGGGAGATTAATCAGTCAGCTGTTTCTGAGCACAGAAGTGCCTCGCGGCTCAGATGTTTGGGTTTGGTGGGCTGTCATCCAGGGTTACTGTTGAGATGAAACCAAATCCAGTAGAAACAGAATAATACTTTTGCAAGATATAGGCTCAGGCACCAATGTGTAGCTTGGTTCAAGGAGCTGCACTGTAGTCTCACACCACCACAGTTTTGGGTTTGACTCCTGCCTTTGCGTGTCTCGTAATTAATGCATGATTTTGTGATTTTTGAGTGATGGACTGCTATCTCATTCAGGGTCTGCCCTGTCTTGTGCCTCACGCTGCCTAGATTAGACTTCAGGGTCCCATTGCATTGAATAAAGACGTGGAAAATGGGCAAATGCTTTTAGGGGTAATAAACATCTGCAGAGTTTATGTGAAACTTATCAGGCTTTGTATCTTTTATGCCACTGTGACCCTGTACTTAATATGCAGTTAGGGAATATGGACGGATGTGTCATAGATGGCCATTGAGCCAATAAATGACAGCACAAACAAGCAAGAGAGTTAGATGAAGCTAAGTGAGAGCTGGGTCAATGCCACGTCTTTAATCTCTGACATAGAAGCTGAATCATCTCTTTGGTGGACAAACGATGGGCTATTGCTTGGAGACCATGTGCTTACTTGATACTTGATCATTTCCCTCTAGAATCCTCAACCAGCTACTGTCCCTGTGAGATAGGGAAAATAAATCTGGGCAAAATTAAACCACACAAGGGTGCTTAAATTGTCCTCCTTGTCTCTTTGTGGTGTGTGATTGTGGATCAAGGGTCCAGATCTATGGAAGCCCCAGCAAAATGTTGAAGCCAACATACATTTGTACTTGTCTCCATCTGTTTCTTCTCACAGGGACAAAGTTTATGTGAAACGGCGACTTTCTTGACAAGCAGTCTTACCACAGGTCTGTCTGTTTTCACGTTAGTGTGCCCAGATCTGTTTCTCCGGTAACTGGACTAAATCTCTGTCACACTGCAGTTCTCATCACCTGATGTTGTTGAAAAAGTTATTTTTTTTAATAACTCATGGGTAACTTTCTGCCCCATGGGCCTTTTACCGTCTCTGGATTTTTAATAGAATGAGGCATCGACTTGCTGGAATTGCTGATCGGAGACCATCCTGGGCGCCCGGCTGAGCTGCATTTGGCAGCGCGATGCTTCTCACTGTGAGGTCGCTAGTTTGGCTTTGCCCCTCGATCCCACCCAGACAAAAGAGATAAAGCGAAGATTCAGTCCATTTGGGCTTGCTGCTTTATTGATGGAGAGAATATTCCCCCGTTATCAAAACTTGTGGCATCTTCGCACAGATGTTGGGGGCTACCTGGGTTCCCATTGGTTACAGGCGTCCTTCCTGTCAGGGACTGTGGTCTGCTGGTGTCCTTTGAAGCTTCAGCACTCTGTTGAAATGGGATCCCAGGCTGTGTGTGACACAGTGACCGTTTCGGAAATCTTTGCGGACAACGATACCATTTGGTGAACCTTGCCTCTTATCTGACTGACGCTTCAGCCTATGTTTAGGTGAAACGTAAAACGATTAGAATCTGAGTTTGTCACTTTCTGTAGGGACAGATGTCGAGAGAACACCGTTCAGCGACAGAGAGTAAAAAGCCTCATGAACGCATGGTTTTAAGACACGGAAATGTGTTTGTTAGTTGTCACTGTCAAATGTGCCATCAAAGACGTCATCGGCTGCATGAAATTGAGAGTTGATAGGAAGTGCCCTCAAGACAAATAAACAAATATGTGTGTGTTTGTGTGTGTTCTCAGGGAAGGTGCTGAACACGGACTTGCGCCATTACCTCAGCCTTCAGTTCCAGAAGGGCTCTCTGGACCACAAGCTGCAGCAGACTATCCGGGACAACCTGTACCTGCGCACAATCCCCTGTGAGTAACACTTTCTCCTGGAGTACCTTGTCCTTCATCTGAACCCCGGTATCCATCACCCTAGGATATCTCATAGCAATTTTTATGTTTTGTCCATTTCAATTTTCACTGGTTTCTCATTGGTGGATATTGAACATCCAGTTATTTAATACTGATCTGAAGTTGACCATAGGACAGGTATTCCAGGCATGTGAAAGCACATTTAGTGCATTTAAACATGGTAGTACAATAGATGCATTCAGAAGCAGTGTTTTTTCCCCTCAGTTCTATGCCTAAGTATAAGCTCCACCCTAAGCCTTCATCTTAAATGAATAGTATTGGCAGTACCGAGTAAAAACACCTTTCCCCCTTTTTACCCCCCTCCCTCTCCATGTTCTCTCTCTGTTCCAGTCATCTGCATATCCTCTCATCTGCCTATTCACCCACCCCGCTCTCATTGTTCTCTATGTGTCTGTGTGTCTTTCTGTCATAGGAAATTCATCCCCCCCTGCGTTTCCATAGAAGCCAATGAGCCACATTCAATTTATTTGCCTTTTAAAAAGGCAGAGAGCAAGCCACGCTGTTCTCTATTAAAGGCACTATGTAAATGTACCTCGTTCGCTGTTTGGAACCCATCGCACACCTTTGTTTATTTGTGACTTTCAGGCCCAAAGAAAAACAGCCAAGTCTGAGGCTGGTGTCTCAGGCACGTTAACCAGCTAATTGGCCACAGTGCTAGTCGGCTTAAGATGCTTCTCCTTCCGTCAGTGTTTACTGCACCTTTCGTCGGCTATCATGAGCTGGACACCATAAAGAACATTGTAAAGGCCGACTTATATGGAGGAATTACAATTAGGTGGTGTTTCTTCTGCATGGTACTCAGCCTACCTGCGGGGTTTTATATTTGAGTTTTTTTATACAGTTAAAAACACTTCCTGTCTCGCTTTATTGTGCAACTAGATGTAAATGTCATGCATAGCACCAGGTACTTATGTTGTTATATAAATCGATCTGATGCTTTTCTATGAGTTAATGAGGTTTTTAGAGACAAGGCCTACATTTCTTAGACCTGTACTTGTTAATCTCACAGTCTTAAATGCAGGGTTTTCAGTTTTGTTTTTGCTAAGGGACTGTAAGTGTAGGTTCTGCTCATGGAGAGCTTTGTCCTCAAAGATGTCTTTTAGAGCAGGACCGCGATGGTTGCTTTTGTCTGGTCCGGTCTGTCACAGGCCCTGGCGGAGCATGAAATCGGACAGGCAGAGGTGGCGTTGAAGGATTTAAAAGGGGAATGAAGCATCCCTAGCTTGCGAGAGGCGGACTGGCCTTGGGGTAGGCTACGGCACAGGCCTGGAATCGGAGAACCACAAAGCTACTGACTCTCCTCAGCACGTCACATGCAAAACAACAAGAGCATTTTGGAGCTCTGTTTGGACAATGAATAAGCACATCTGAATACCATCAAAAACACCCTGGAGCAGAATTCAGTTTCAGGATGCCTTTGTTTCCATCCCAAATTCAGCTGCTGACAAAAAATCTTTTGAGGATACTGAGGGCTGGTGCAATACCTCTTGTCAGCAATAGGTGGTGCAATACCTCAAAACTGGTGCTGTCCCACGTGCCTGGCCATTGAAAGCCAAATTACTGCATTGTACCCTTTGCATAATAGCTGTCTGTTCTATGCCAGTTATGGCTTTTCATGGGGGAGAATAACTTTGCTCCTGTATTAAGCTAACAAAGGCTCAGCGGGGCAGGCTGAATAAGGCCCAACGGGTTTTGTTACTGCGTCAGCTGTGTGGGGTGGGTCAGGTGATCAGGGGCGTGGTTAAACCGGCCATCTCTCCCATAACCAGATCTATGATAACTTAAAGAGGACCCCCTGAGTTCTGATGCTGATTGTCGCATTCAGATTGAAAGTACCCCTGAATATTGCCAGATACTGCATGCAGCTCTCTCTCCCTCTCTGTCTCTCTTTCTTCCTCCCTCTCTCTTTCTCTCTCTCTCTCTCTCTCTCTCTCTCTTTCACGCACATGTCAGCAGTCCCGTCTTCAGTAGGACTTCCCACTGATAACGACTGAAATGATTTCAACCTTTCTAGTTTAATAAAAAAAAAAAAACAGATGAAGAAATATATTTGTTTATTGGAAATGTCTCCATATCTCTCTTTCATATCATACTGTGAATGCCGGGACATTTCCTTACATAAGACCTTTGCACCCACATATAAACACTCCGGGCAAAATACGTCAGAAATATTGAATTAAAAATGCCAGCCTTGTCTGGATTATTGTGTGTGTGTTCATGTGCTGGCGTCTCACATTGTTTAATTTGTATGTGGGGGTCCCGTTTCTGCAGCATGGGGTGACCCAGCTTCATCATGTGATTTTTTACAAGCTTCTCGTAATTAAAACTCCACCTACTTCTTCATACTCTGGACTCAGAGTATGAGTATGAAGTATGAAGTACCCATATTTCCTTTTTTAAGCGTATCCTGCAGAGTACCATGCTAAATCTTTTACACTTAACCTTATGCTTTACCTATAAATTTATACAATCATTTCATTCTGAAATGTTCACAGTCCATCCATGAAGTTTCAAAACTAGGTTCAGCATGGAAGTAAAAATGCCTGATACTCCACAGTTACTCTCAGTAACAGGCGTCTCAGTCAGCTCTGATATATATTTTGAAAAGTTGCAGAGATCTTCTATCTTAGTCTGAAGGAACTCAGGCATGATTCTCCCAAAGAAGCTACGGTACCCATTTGTCCTTATCTAGCCTGCTGATCTTTCTGTGATGTTCTCTCAAAGATATCAAAAATAACCTGAAAATCCAGGAGGTGCAATACCAGAGATATCTAGAATCATTACCAAAAAAGGGTAGAAGTTCAATGTCAGCCTTGATAGGTGCTATTCATAATAATTTGTTTTTCATAATAACTAAATTCCTTGCTTGTTGTTTTTTTCACAACATTTTTGGTGCTGTGCTGTAGTTCTAGATTAACAGTTTTTAGAACCTGAGAATTTTCATAGACAAAACAAGTTTAGCTATATTGGGTAGTGACAAGCTGTCACATCAATGCTCTGTGAAAACACGTTTATTGGCTTTCACAACTAGAGTCGAAAACAGCCCATCCAAAATGACAGGGCTTCAGCCTAGTGGTCTTTGGACAGCAGCTCACAGGAAGGAGGTGAGCGGCAAGAGACTCAAGTGCAGCTCATCAAGAAACCAGGAAGAAGAACCAGGAAGAGGAACCAGGCGCTGATAAGCAGGAAATGAGGCTTAAACACAAAACTCAAGACAACCAGAATAAACTGAAAAACCAGACACCGGTTTCCCAGAGGAATCCTGGATCATCAAGTGCACAAGCATGGTAGCAAGATGCCGGCTAACCAGGACCATACAACCTGAGACAAGACACCCGGAAGCTCAGAAACAAGATGCCAGACCCACAAACTCGGCGGCAATATTGGCAACCCCCAACCAAAACCGGAAAATGATATGCAAACTAAGGTCAGCCTCATAAATCTAGAAGTTCATCTTCAAACCAAACCAAGCACTGGGCCTTACACTCAAAGACCAATAGCCATGATTGAGCAGGATCTAGAGAGGATTCAGAGCCAGCTACCACTGGCTCAGAGCAAGATCACATGGACCTTATTCAATTTCCTGATTACAAATACAGCACTGATGTAACACAAGCATGCATAAACAGGGGTAGTAAATGGAAGATACTGGGTGTTGGACTTATGAGTGTGTATTTTCTGAAGCATCTAGAACAGTTGCAAAAACATGATTATACCCATTGACCTACAGCGTTGTTTGTAAAAGGGTTGCTTTGCTATCACATTTATTCCAAGTGAGGAGTGTTAGATATGTAGGTATTCCAACTGAGAAATTTAGGTTGAGTACCAGCTCAAGAGTGTAGCAGTAAGGCCTTTATGGATTTGAAGCTGCAATCATTAAGTCCCACATGAAGGCCTATATTTTGGGTCTGTGAAGGTCAGGTTTGACATTCCAGCCTCTGGTCTGCCCTCAGCTCAACATGACTGGCTCCTGATTTCCACACCTCTGTGTTTGATTAACAGGTACCACAAGACAGCCAAGAGATGGGGAAGTGCCTGGAGTAGACTACAACTTCATCAGTGTAGGAGAGTTCCACGTCCTAGAGGATAGCGGACTTCTTCTAGAGAGTGGCACCTATGATGGTATGGCCCATTTTTGCTAACATTTTCTGGACAGCCTCCTACTTTCAGGTTCACTCTTTCCCAGTCCTTGACCCCCATATTTTCCTCTTGAAACTGTAGCAAAGATTGTGTTTGTGTTGATGAACCCATTAAACCAGTTGTTCATCATATCTGAGACACAGATTATTAATAATCTGCCATTTGAATGGACGAGAGAGTCCAGGTCCTTTAGTGTTGAGGATTTCAACTCAGGGCTAGTGGTGCTGGTTAAGAGACACAACAGAAAGAGGAATATTGTACCAGAACGATAACTTGTTTTCTGTTGTTCAGAAGGAAATTACACAATCTCTCATCGAGACAAGATAATCGAGCCGCAGTAATAGCTGTGTGTTCCTTCCTTAGGCGGTGGGAGAGTGGGAGTGTATTTGTTCCCTTATATTTGGTAATTAAATATACATAATGCGTTCAGGGAACAGCAGGATCTACATCCAAAAACATCTATTCTATGAAAATCTTTAAAAATGATGTTTTCTCATCATGTACCTCTTCTTGGCTTTTAACGTCTCTTCCTCACTTGAGCCAGGAAAGTACTACTCTGCTTTGTTCTTAAAACCATTACTAAGAGCAGTGTCAGAATGATTCTGAATTGGATCGGACAAATGTTACTGGTCCTGTAGCAGAGGTGAGCGGTTCCAAGACCCTGTCACATATCTGCCCTATTTCTGTTACTGTTTCAGTCAGAGGTAGCTGAAGACTTTTCTCGCAAAGTATCTGTAAAGAGGGAACCACACTAGATTAGTTATGCACATTGACAATCCTCAATCCTTTTATAGTTCACATCTCTCTGTTAAGAATGGACCCAATGGAAACTGTAACATCCTTGGCCCAGATGAAACATCTCAGATAATTTTTTAAATTATCATTTTAAATATCTCTGGTACTCAGAGTCTTTAAGGGTCAGGAAGGTTTAACAGACCATAACGGAGGAAAAACCCAATTACAGCCAAGAAAAATCTAATCACAGGCAAGAAAACCCAATCACAACTAAGAAGGACCCAGTCATGGGCAAGAAAGGCCTAATCAAAACCAAGAAATACCCAGTCACAGTCAAGAAATGTTCACAGCAAAGAAATGCCTAATCACAACCAAGAAAGACTCTACCACGACTACGGAAAACCTAATCACAACCATGAACAACTCAACCATACCTTAGAAAGCCCCAATACAGCAGATAAAGGCCAAGATCCATAGACTGATCTGACATGTCTTGTGAGATCCAGCTGAAATCTGAGAGCGGTAGCATCATGCTGCTGTAACTAGGTGATCTTTAGTCCCTGAGTTTTCTCATTTAGAAAACAAGAATATTTATATTATTTAATTTAACAGGCATTTTGGTCCAAAGCAGTGAACATGTGAGGAGACCTTGGGACCAGATAGCGGTCGGGGTTAAGAGCCGAGCTCTAGGGCTCAGCAGCGATATGATTACTCAACTGCTATGGGAGCTGAAACTACAATTTTCCACACATGGGCACAGTTCCCTAGCGTGCTACGCTAACCACTGCCCAATTATACAAAGCAGTCTCATGTATAACTAACACAGAATGACAAACAGAAAATGGCATCTATCAAGCAAATAGCTCGCCCTAGGCTCAGGCATAACACTCAAAGAAGGGCTGTCATATCCAGTCAGCTGACCACGTTTAAACCCTGACAAGGCAGCCAATCCAATCCGGGTGCGATGAGCTTTATTACATGACATATATACAGGAACAGGACTGCTGATCAATTGCCATAGTAATGTGAGATGTTATGCAGACTGATGTATCACGTCACTCCAGGAGTGTTGTGATCGTCTCTCTGTAACAGGGCCGGCTCTTGGTGTCCTGGCACCCTAGGTGAGATTCTACTGAGCCCTCGTGTGCCCCAAGAGCAGCAGAAAATTAATTTCGTCCATTCATTTATATTAAAAAACATTTCAGTATCACAGGGAATCTTGCTGAAAATTAGCTAGTTCACGACTGTTTCACAGGAAAAGTGCTGAAATATTAAAACTAGTGTAAATATCTAATTTATATTTATAAATATCTAATCGAATTTTTTTTCGCTCACTTTTTTGTGTTCCCCTAACCAAATGGCACCCTAGGCGACGACCTATGTCGCCTATAGGGCAGGCTGGCCCTACTTTGTGAGTACAGTTCAGTATAGGTGTTTTTATGGGTAAGGTTAGACTTCAACTCAAAGACCAAAGGTCTCTCAAAAGACTAAGGCAACTCGACAGCTTCTGCAGGCAAAAAAGAAGCTGGGTCTTTGCTGGGTAGAGGTTAACGTCATCATGTTGGGATTAGAGTTTTCCCCATAGAAATGAATGGAGAGTCCCCACAAAGATATAATTACAAACCTGTGTGTGTATGCATGTGTGTGAGCACCTATGAGAAACCAGTCAGATCATGCATTTACAGTATGAGTAGAGTCATCGCATAGCTGCTAGCATATGTGACAACACTGGGGGATGGATGCTAAGCCAATTTCAGAATTCCGACGCCGCATTGATTTCTCGAAGATTAAAGTGACAAACAACATAACGAAGCCCACTCTGACGAGCCTTGTTCTGTTCCTCTCCGTGGCGCTAATGTACATTCGTCATGGGCCGCGAGCCGACTGTCTGCGCGTAATTAATCACGCATTAGCAATACTGTTAAATGTCACCTGTGGCCGGGGACAGGCGCAAATTAAAGAGTCGCATGAGTCTTTTATCTTGACTGCTGCACCTGCAATAGGCTAATGAAGCTGTCGGTGGGGATAGAATGACAAGAACAGCATCAACACAGAAATAAAAAGCACTAACATGCACAGCAGGGGGAGTAATCTGTAGTGCCATCAAGGGGTGGGGGGGTACCAAGGGGTTTTTGATTTCTAGGAGGGTGTTCTGCTTTATGTATCCGCCCACACTTCTGATTGGACCATATAGTATGTAGGAATACAGGCTAATGCAAGCCTTTGGCTCTGTGGGAAGCTTTAATGATGATTAGCAACCACCTTATTTATTTTCATTAATTAACTCATTTATTCACGTCTTTGAGGGTGAGGACACCTTCTGTTTCTGAGAAGCTTCATCATCTGAACAATATTTTTTAATTTTTCACAGCTGGTTATAAATGGAGACAGTTCATGTTTCCGCGCAGTTGGACAGGTGTTAACATGCTGGGACCTGGGTCAAGGCATCTCACACATGAAGGTTGCCACTCGTGGGAGAGTTCCCTGCAGAGTGAAGTCACCTGCGATCAGGAAGTGTAAAAATGTGGCCACTTCAGATAATGAATCGGTAGAAAAACAAGAAATTTTGAAGATGCTGCCTTTGGGAATGTCCCTAAAGTCTCTCCTTTAAAATAACATGCTGGCTTCTTCTTAAAACCGAAGATTCAACTCAAAGACCAAAGGTCTCTCAGAAGACTAAGGCAACTCGACAGCTTCTGCAGGCAAAAAAGAAGCTGGGTCTTTGCTTTAATTAATTGGTGTGAAAATATGAATCCCCAAATGGAGCCTTTTCCTCCTGTTTAATTAGGCTTCTCAGAAACGATGACCCAAAGACTGTAATTACATTCAATGTGTGTTAGAACGAATGGAGTATTTGCAAAGTTGGCATTCATTAAAGGATTCACTCCTTTCCTTGCGTTCCGGACACATTCATCCAACTAAGCATTTCACTGTTTGCAGGCTGTACAAACATTTCACGTTTATTTGTAGGTAACAAACCATTTTTTCATCACAATAACAAATCAAGACAGAGAAACCATCTGTGAGTATAATTAGGTTCAAGGGTCTTGTTGCACTGAAGGAATATAACGTTGGTGATTTTTTTTTCACTACCTACTATTAAAAATGAGCAGAACTGGCACAATTGACTGTGAATTAACTCCTCCTCGTGATACTGTACGAGGCTCACATACTGGAGGTAAATTTAATATAGAGAAAAATAATGTGCATTATATGAAAAAATTACAAGATTATTGTACAAGTGTATTGTACATTTAAATGGACGGCTGTCTTTCTATATATATATATACACACACACACACACACACACAGGTAACGGTGGCAATAAACCAAACACTATGGCTAGGACTAAGAAGGATCAGGTATGGGTCATTAACAATCAAACACTCAAACACCTGGAATGGGATGGCCAGTGACACCTGCTGGCCAAGTAGGGAAATGACCGAGAGGACACGGCAGGAACTGATCCTGACATACTTAGGCATGGATGTTGTGAATGAGTTCGATGTTGAGATTTTCCTTTTGGCACGTTTCTTTGTATAGCACCAGTTCAGAAACTCATGTCGAATCTTGGAAACGTAGTGGATGACGAGCATCAAAGGGGGCTGCTGTGTTTTTTTTTTCAGGCAATTACTACGGCACCCCAAAGCCCCCAGCTGAAGCAGGCTCTACACAGCCCGACTTAGTGGATCAGGTTCTGTTTGAAGAGGACTTCGGTGGCGACGTTCAAAGGAAACGCACCACCTCTGTCAGCAAGATGGAGCGCAAGGACAGCACCGCCCCAGAGGAGGAGGACGAGGATGAGCGGCCATCCATGCTAAACGGCCTTGCAGGTGGGTGGACCCTCGTGTTTCCCGCTGGTCCTGGGTGCTGCAGGTGTTTAAAAGCCAGGGAAGATGAAGTTCATCCTTCTCTCTTCATCTTCTCAGTCCAAATTCAGGTCTAGCCTTGCCAAAGTATAATGAGTACAATGTATAATATACTTTCATATCATATATATGAGCTACTTGAAGGACACTCTGGATGATCTAATTCTTTTGAGTATTGCTACTCATGGTTATAGGAGATGTTAATATTAGAGGTTGACCAATATGGGTTTTTCAGTGGCTGATGCTGATGCTGTTTTTTTGAGGGGTGGGTGGAGCCGATGACCGATATTAGGTTGGTTTTCGTATGTAGAAAAATAACAAATGACTAAGACAACTTCTTAACTTTAAATATTGATTTAACATGAATAACATACAAAAACAATAATATTTTAAATATTAATCACACTTTAAACAACGATATGCAGCAATTTAAAAATAATAGAAAATAAAAACAATAATTTGACCACATTTGGGGCTATCACTTTGTCGTTTCATGATTCAATTTATAGCCAAAGTAACGAAACGATGTTAAAAAAACTTAGATCGTTCTCGTTTTGTAGCGATATTTCGTAAACTGCAGGAATTTTTGAACTCTTACCTTTGGTTGTTGCGCAGGTTCACTACTGTAGGTGCTGATAAACCACATTACAACACTGTTTCACACGGCTGTGCATCAGTCATCACCCACGCGCAGCCTTCTCTATATCGGCCATGTTGTCTGATTAATTGGATGATACCGATTGCCATAAAATGCTTGAAAATCAGCCGTTTTTTTTCCGCTGGCTGTTCAGTCGGTTTACCGCTACTTAGTATTTTACACAGCTAGCTCCACATGTTCTGGCTTCTCTTCTAAAACTGAATGTCTGCATATCTTAGATCACCAAGAAGGAGCTGACTGGAGGAAGAGGGTGCCCGATTACAGCCAACCCAGCAGCAGGACAGACCTCCGCTCTTGGAACTCCCTGTCCAGAGACGACAGCTTGGAACCTCTCCCCAAAAACTGGGAGATGGCCTACACAGATACGGGCATGGTTTACTTCATCGAGTGAGTCAAGAGATGGAGGGTGGAATATAAGGTTTACCACTGCATTGTTCAGTCATCCTATGTCTCCTTTGCAGTAATCTGCTGAATTATACGGTCATTATATCCTACGTCATCTATGTCAAAGATCCACTGCATGGTTCAGTTACCACATCCTATGTCTTTTATGTCGTACATCCCCTGATTTATACAGTCGTTTCACCCTACGTCCGCTATGTCGAACATCCCCTGCATTGTACAGTCGTTTCGCCCTACGTCCGCTATGTCGAACATCCCCTGCATTGTACAGTCGTTTCGCCCTACGTCCGCTATGTCGAACATCCCCTGCATTGTACAGTTCTGTTACACTCTGTGTGCCCTATTGTACATTCATCTGCTACCTTCAAAATCTCCTGTATTGCATATTTGCTAATCTCTTCATTTGAACAGTTCCTTATTATTCTGCTTGATTAAATTATCTATAGTGATAAACATAAGATTTTAGTACAACATATCCAATATCTATGCATTTGTGGTCAAAGGTGTCAATTTATCCAAGTCAGTCAGGTGGAACCTCCTGTCACTGTTCAAGGGGCGTACAGTGCTTCCCCGAGGATTCTAACTTTGGGTCACTGAGGCTTGCCCTGGCAGCCTCCCATCAAATACAATCCATGAATCTTTGAGTAAGACTCCTCCATGCTTAAAATCACTCTGCAGGAAGTAGTTAGTGATAAACAGAGGAGAAGGGAGCAGTCTCGTATTCCCAGGACATAACAGTGATTGCAATAAGTGTATTACCATTGGTATCCAAATGATATTGCACTTCATTCACAAAGCAAATTAAAAGGGATTTTTTTGGATACTGCATTACCCTTGTGGCAGCTGGCTACTGAAAATAGTGTGTAAATGTTTTCTTATCTAGTTGGGAGCAGGGACCTAAACGATCCAGGTGGCGAACCCTAGGGACGGGTAACACAGGTGGATGGTGGGGGTCGTGCCCTGCCTGCTGGCTTTCTCACTTGTAAGCCATGTCTCATCATGTTTCCCCCCCAGCCACAACACCAAGACCACCACCTGGCTGGACCCCCGACTGGCCAAGAAGGCCAAGCCCCCCGAGAAGTGTGAGGATGGAGGTGATATATCAGCGTGCCAGTGTTAGCAGCCACTGACAGGCACATTAGAGGCACTGTGTTCCTTCTGTAACACAGTATGGAATCCTTGCTCTGCATGAGAAGCTCTTTGGTCTCTGTCAGAACACAACATGCTCGCCAAGCTGTAATGTTTATTACACTTTCCACCACAGCTGACTTTAAAACCATGAGTAATTCACACATTTTTTTTCTGACATGAATTAATGCAGTAGTTATATACCAAACATGCTTTTAAACATATTCTCTGTTCATGTCAGAACGTGAACATTTGGCTCCATGTCTCCTAAAACATATGGGACTGGAATCCATTTCTGGGACACAAGTGATTTTTTTTTTCTGCTCAAACACCACTTATTTGCCTCAGTATCTTCTTCTGTTCTCCGCAGAGCTTCCATATGGTTGGGAGGAAATTGACGATCCACAGTATGGAACCTACTATGTAGAGTGAGTCCTATTGCATCATCCCAAAGCCTCTAATGGCGCTTTTCACTGCCACCAAGACCCGAGCTGAAGCTCAAATTGACGATTTTCCATTGTAAATTATACGAGTCGTACCCGACCCATTACCGCGCCAACATTACCTTGCTTACCAGCAGGGTCAAAGGCGTGACTAAGCCATGCTGGTTGCATCACCACTACCTGATTGGTCAAAATTCACGGAGATACCATTGATCTGCTTCAATATATACATGGATTATATGAAAGAAAAAAGTGCATATTCTATATATTATTCATTATTGGTAATATCACAGCGTGACATATCGATGTATTCCTGATAACTCGAAAATTTCCGACCTCCTACTTGAAAAAGTACTATAGAAACAGCTGAATGGAATCGATTCGTAATGAAAATTTATGCAAGCTAATACAAATTCTGCTAACATAACACAACAATTCTCACAGACGTGCTATTGGAAATGAACACATAATAAATCATGATACACACTCTGTGAAGAGTAAACAAACGTCGCTTCATTTTTACATCACTGTCTCTCTCCAAACACAGTAATGCTCTTACTGAGCCAACCCTTCTACAGTGGAAAATAGAAGTGAGCTGGAACAGTGCAGTAACTAGTGTCTCTTCATGGTACGGCTTGGGTACGGCGTGGTTCCCGTACGCCAGTGGAAAAGCACCATAAGCGTATCTGCACAACAGGGGCAAAAAGATAAATGCTCGTGGTTGTTAAAGGGAACTAAAAACTGCTAATAAGTGCTAATGGCTACTAACTGGTGCTAACAGTGGCTAATGGGTGCTAACAGCTGCTAATTGCTAAACTACACATGGTAGGTCAGGCTCATAGATCACTAACTGATCTCATTAGTTCCTAAGGATGAGGAATCACTCATCACAGTTGTTTTTAATGAGTAAAATTTTAATGAGCTTAACTTTAATTTGACTGCAAAGGACCACCATACTGTCCCTGCCTCGTTCTTTAGTTATGCTTCCTCAAAAGCAGGTATGTAACACAACTAGTCATGTGAATGCTGAATTTTTGTCTCTGATTCTACAACACGTTGTTTCATTTTCAGTTTTTTATTAATGGAAGAAGACCAGTTTTTCTCATGTAGCTGTATACAGCCGCAGAAAAAATTAAGAGACTACAGCACAATTTGTTGTTTCACTCATTTCTCAATTCATGGATGTCCGTGAATTATATATATATATTTTTTGCAAACTGCAGCCTGGTTCTTCCCTGTTTCTCATTAATGAAGGGCTTCTTCCTTGCTTTGTGGGACTTCAGTCCTGCTTCTAGGACCTGATATGAACTGTCCTAGCAGTGCACTTCACACCTGCACTTAATGTTCCCCATTCCCTTTGAAGGTCACTTGATATCATCCTACGATTCACGAGAAAATGTCGGATAAGTTAACAGTCATCTCTGGCATTAGAAAGTCACTTCTGCCTTCTGCCTGACTGGGGTCTGGTCGTTCCCAGTGTCTCCTGCTTCACCTAGTTCTGAGTTTAGATTAGACATCATAGATTGCTCTAATTCAAGAGTCAATAAAAAAATCTCGATGGTGTGTATTTGTGTGTGTGTATAATCAGCTCTCTGAAATCTCTCCGTGCGTCTTACTGTTATAGCCACATTAACCAGAAAACCCAGTTTGAGAACCCAGTCCTGGAGGCCAAGAAGAAATTGAGACAAGAAGCCTGCGCTGCTTCCCCCCACCAGCAGGGTGCGCCACTGCCAGCAGGTTGTAGTCTTCTCAGTGTACATTTGCATGATAGTGATCCCATTGTTGCAGATCCTGTTATCTGACTGAAGATGAACCCTAATTTTTAAAAAGACTTAAAAAAAACTTTGTAGCTGGGTAAAAACAGTTAAACAATACTGATATAAACTGCTAAAGGAAGTGGAAGTGGATTTTGCATGTTCCGGAGACCTATAGCGTTGGATTGGTCTTTCTAAATTGCCAGTAGTATGGGAGTATATCAGTGTGTGCTCTGTGATGGACTTGATGGACTGCTGTCTCCTTGTCCTATCCTTCCTGGGACAATGTCCTTTCTCATCATGACTGCAGTACTGCAGTGTTTCTCAGTCCAGTCCTTGGGGACCCACAGACAGTCCGAGAGCTGGGAGGGAGCAAAAATGTGGACTGTCTGTGGTTCCCCGGGGACCAGATTGGGAAACACTGCTGTAATGAATGAAAAGTATGAAAGAGTGATGGATAAATAATCGTAAAATTGTCTAGAGGCCAAACAAAAACTTTGTAGTTAATGACTCAAAACTTTGAGTTTTGTTAGGATCGCAAAAAAGTTTTGATTGGCAAAGGAAGAGGCTCCTGTCTGCCATCAGTGTTATTTCTAGGCGATGATGCGGTTGTCATGGCAGCACTGACCAGGGCATCCCCACTGATTCTGCAGCATATGGCCGGAGGCGAGGTGGGGGAGGGGCATTTCAGCATACTGTCTGGCACCTGATTGCGGGCGAATACGTACTGTAAGAGGTGCGCTAATGAGGAGATAGACGTCAACTGTGTCTTTACCAAAAAAAAAAAAATACTGCTTTCACTTCATCATGGATGTCATTTTTAATTACCATTAGAAACCATTGAATCCGAGGGTGAAATTCATTCCGGGGAGAATATGACCTCACTGATTCGATTGCTTTTCTAAATGAGTTTTTCCATCCTATTCCATGTACTGTTATGTATAGTGCTGTTTGCATGCACATGTGACTCATACAGAGCTATGTGTACACACACACACACACACATACATGTCTGTTATTATATATGTTTGTGGGGACCGTCCATTCATTTCTATGAGAAAAACCCTAATCCCAACAATGATAACCTTAACCCCTACCCAGCCCTAACCTTAACCATAAATAATGTTAGTTTTCTAATTGCATTCACAGACTTTTATAAAATTTGGTTTTCCCTTGTGGGGAGCGCTGGTCTGACTGTGTAGAGCGAGCGGTAGCTCAGGGAGTCCCGAATGAGGCACATTACCTGCATTGTGAGGGAGTGTCAGTTACGGCACTACGGCCATGTGGCGCGTTTCCCTGAGGGTGATCCGGCTCACAGGATCCTCACTGCTGAGGACCGAAGCGGCTGGACCAGGCCGAGGGGACGCCCACGTAACATCTGGCTGCGGCAGATAGATGGGTATTTCAAGAGGGCGGGACTGGACCACGTGTCGGCCTGGGGGGTCGCCAACCGGGATCCAGAGATGTTTCATTGTGTGGTGGGTGCACCGACATGCCGTACCAGCGCATGTTCCTCAACCTGACCTGGGACCAAAACAAAATGTCCCCAAAAGGTCAGAATAACAGGTTTTTATTACATTTTGGGGACATTTGTTATATACACATGACCCACACACACACACACACTGCAAATTTACACACTCCTGGTCAGTAATCTGCCAATCCTGCACTTAGCTTCCCAGTAGCTCAGGTGAGCCCAGTTTCACCCCCCCACCTTCTGCCGCCAGTCTGTTCACCCCTCTGTCT